CCGCGACTCCGTTCGCGTGGAATAGGGACTACCTGCATATTTTTTATGTAATAACTATCCTATGTTCTTTCTCAAGTTCCAAACTATGTCTGTACCAAATTTCACAGAAATCGGTTCAGTAAGTAGTTTAGGCATGAAAAAAAGACATTCAGACAGAGTTTCTTTCGCATTTATAATATTAGTATAGGTATAGATTTGCACAAATAAAACACGACGTTTTTTAACAATCTTAACATAAGTATCTATTCTCTATAATAAAATTAAAGAATTTGTTTATTTTCATGAATTCCCTAATCTTCGGAACTGCTGGTTGGAATTTAAGCATTTTTTTGTATTCATTAGTTCATTTATAGGCTATGTGTAGGACCCGAGCAGAAGTTGTAATCACGGGAGAGTAGCTTCGTTATTCAAAATATAATTTAGTAATCTAAGGTGCGTATTGTAAATATTGATATGGATGCATGAAATTATGTACGTATGTTATATTTTATTACCGATACAAAACACGTAACGTTTGAATGAAGTTATCAAACTTATGATTCAGACCTCCACAACATGGTCGCGATATTTGCCATAAAATTGTTTATAACACATTGTTTCGCTTTTATTGTAATCATAGTTTTGATGTTATCCTTTATTAAAATACTTAGACGAAAGACACTTAAAAGTATTAGATAGTATAGAATCAATTATTTAATGAAGTTTAGTACAAACAAATCTTATTTTTTTTATGGAATAGTAGGATAACGAGCAGGCGGATCACCTGATGGTAAGCGATCGGCGCCGCCCATGGACACCTGCAACACCAGAGGAGTCACAGGTGCGTTGGCCGGCCTTTTTAAGAAGGAGAACGCTCGTTTCTTGAGGGTTTGAAGGATTTAGATTACCTTTTATCGGTTCACAGTTTTAGTGAGATTTTGTTAAAGAAAATTCTTGAAATGAAATGTGACGAAGTATTAATTGTCTTTTTTTTTAATAATATCGTAAATAGATCACTTACAATGAGGCTCACAACAGTCATCATCATAACATTATGTATGATCATGATGCTTGAAACAAAGGCATAAGATTGAGAGCAAGGTATGGGGACTCCTATTCCCAAGTCTTTTAAAGAATGGTCTAAATATTAAACATTCCTTAATAACTTTCAAACCATAAAAGTATCTATATTGAAATTAGGTACTTAACTATGACAGGAAGAGTTTTAAGTAAAACATCACATTGCAGTTTGTTTCGGGGTGTGCATCCCCAAATCTCCAATCCTTCTCTAAAAAAGGCCGAAAACGCATTTGTAGCTCCTCCATTATTGTGTGTGTTTATATCTAGTCGACACAGTTTGCTTAACATCAGACCTGTCTGCTCGTTCATTCGATCCCATATCAATAAAGGCCTAGCCTTGTAAATGTTTTCTGCCCTATGGATCTCTAGTCTGAAATATAATAATTTAATCAATAAATTAATGAAAATCTACCGTTATAGCTACTAATACGGGTTCTGTAAACTTAAACAATATTTTGTATCTACCAGGATTATCCAGGATTTTACGTATAACATAGATCGAATGTCTAACGGCGCATTGCCCGATACTTTTCTAGGTCCTAGAGCTAGGTCAGCCTTTCGTTAGATACTAGTTTATTCTAGAAATGTCTTCAGCACTGCTGTTTATAACACATTCAGTTTAAATCAAGTTAACTATCGGTTAAGCAAATATAACTGCGTCCCTAATGATCATACCTAAGTACCTACATATGTACAGATTTTTTTAACGTTGTATTGCTTTAGTATTTTCTCCTGTGTCGTAGGTTTTTTTGTGTTATAGTTTGGAACAGCAGTAGACGGATTACCTGATGGTATGCAAGCAGCGCCGCCCATTGACAGTCCTGATTTGAATTTAGTTACTACAAGTGTCCTGTTAGGGGTGGTTAAACATTTAAGGGTAGGGGTTGAAGGAGGTGACGGGGATTGGTCCTTCGGTAACCTCACTCACTCCAGTCGAGCCGGCCTTTTTTTTATATTATATATATGTGCTGAAGCATGGCTCTGCCACACTTATTTTACTTGCGTTTGCAAACATGATGATGATACTAAGAGTTTGTGGATCACACAATGAGTTGAAGCGCGCGGTCTCAAACCCGTGACAAACTGCGCAGTTCAGATTCGTTTCAAAAATTATTTTGATAGGTACTTTTGGTATTGGTATTGTTGAGCTATGCACATTCTGATTATGTTTTGAAAATAAAGACTGTACTGATATTATGTTACATACTAGCTACTCTTGCGCGGTTTCACCCGCTGATCAGCTCATAAATAAGCATCGGCTTTATTATAGCCTATAAAATTCAGGGACATTGTAGCTATCTATCAGTGAAATAATTTTGACAATCCGACCAGCGGTTCCAAAGATACCCCCTACATACAAACTTACAAACATATAAACTTACAAATTTTACCTCTTTATAATATTAATATAAAGTATATAAAGAGGATAAAGAACCTCTGAGAAGAAATGCAGCAAACTCAGAGGTCTGTCTTTTATAAAGTCCAGACAAATTCAAAAATTCAAAAATAATGTGTAAGTGTCCTACTTAAAACGTTCAAGTTAATTCTCTAGGTCATCACTACATCGGTCGCGGCAAAAGCAGGAAAAGAAACGGGGGGGTTTTTAGTCAGTAAGAGTCTGACACTCTCACTTATACCGTCCCTATGGCCACTATTTACGCTTACATTTTTAATATATTAGAGGTATTGAAGAGGAAGTTTTATATGTATAATAACATAATTACATTAAGCAGTGGAATTTTTTTGTAACAGCGTTGCTCCCTTGCGAAGCTGAGGCTGGTCGCTAGTGTTGATAAGTTTGATAGAATCTAGATATTTATATTATCTTTGCCCGTCTTTATCGGTAAGTCGGTAGCTGACGTGATGAAGAATGATCACGTATTAATTTTATAGACTGTTCTCTTCTCTTTTTTAATGAATTAATGTTAAAAAGAAATCATGCTACCAAGTAATAAGGTAATATTTATGTAATGCTCCCAATAAGATAATTTACATACATTAGCTTTTGGGCTTTTTCTTCTGTGGGAATGAACGCAATGATACAGTATGAGCTCATAACGTGGACTTGAAACTAGTTGAGTTATCCCTCTATTATATTTGTCGCCAGTAACCCGAGATAATTAATAAAATGTAACTAAATTATAAAAAGTTTACTTATGTTGTTATCTTTAATGGCACTTTGATAGGGGAATCATTCAATCACTCCTCCCGCCCAGGGTAATGAGAGGAGTTTCAGACAGTCACTGACTAAAAACCACCCTGCTCCAAACCAGGGCCGTGCAAAAATATTGTATTCTCAATCAAAATGTACTAAGTATAAACATAATAATTGATAAAGTATCCTTCTCATATCAGAGACCATGTTTCGGCACGAATGGCGCAGCTCGATCGGGATGTGAGTTATACAGCATCCTAACAGAAAACCGGTGTGAAATATTCACAGTATTATGTCAGAGATCATAGGAGGCCCATTTTTTTCCCAACCTTTCCTTTCATCCTATCCCCAGTTCCCAAACACTCATACCTCTAATTCCAAACAGCGCCAAAACGTCATCATAACACCTCGTTACTCCTCTGGTGTTAAGGGTATCCGTGGGCGACGACGATTGCTTACCATCAGGTCAAATAGGTCTGTTCATTAGTCGCCCTATACCATAAAAATCTACACTCGAAATGTCTTACGAATCTCGCCTTTATTCCTTGCCAATTCTTTCAAGTAATGATAACAATAAGAATATTCTAACCATGAATGAAACAATGATATGAAAATAAAATAACACTTGAGTGTATCCATTGTATGGTCTGCATGTTATATGTTAGATAGGATATTACTTAGCGGTCCATAATACTACCTAGTATTGTACTGAAAATTATACTTAATAACAATTTCATTTCCCACCTGGAGTAGTACCTATAATTTGTTATTGAGATAGATTTATACACCTAGTAGGTAGTCCAAAGATAAAATTATCAATTGTCTTTTCTATACTTATAATAAATCTGTATAAATCTAGAGAGGTCAATTCTGTACATAAAATATATTTTCAAAATAACTACCAGGGGGTGGTAAGTTATCGATACTGATGCCAAAAATGCAATCAGTAAAATTTTTGTCTGTCTGTCTGTATGTTCCTTTTAGAAAAACTACTCGACGGATTTTAACCAAAATTGGCACAATTATTCTTTATCCACCTGGGCAGGTTATAGGATACTTTTCATAACGCTACAAATAATAGGAGCAGAGCAGTGAAGGAAAATGTAGGGACAACGGGAGAAGTTACTCCCTTTTTTAAGTTTCCGTAAGAAAGTGTTAAACTTTTAATGTCTAAAAACCCTCTCGTTTCGCACCATGGCCTCGACTAAAGATAGACGAAGGAGAGGGCGGTCCATAGCCAAAAAAGGGCACACTGCCACCGTATACTCCACCAAGTGTCAGGTTCTCTAGCCACTCCTCAAAGAGATCCTTATCGAAGCTATAACTGCGTGCCTTGCGCCACCCGTAAAATAGGGATATTCAATGAATTATTTAAGTGTGTAGAGTCATGCTTCGCCACGCATGGGTTGGCTCGACCGGATTGATACCACGGCCTCACAGAAAACCGGCGTGAAACAACCACAACTTTGTGTTTCGCCGTTTGAATGAGGTTACAGGAGGCTCAAACCTTCCCCTCCCCCTATCCCTCCCAAATCCCTAATCCCCAGAACGTCGGCAACGCACTTGTAACTCTTCTGTTACCAGTGTCCATGGGCGGCGCTGACTGCTTACCATCAGCTCTATTACATAAAAGAAATATGAATGAGAATCAAAACCCAGAATCGAAATTGGAATTTGGAATAGGAAGGTTTGATTTAAAATTCTTAGAAATGGCTGCTTGAACGGAACATTGTTTGTCTTGTCTTTTTGTCCATTGTTGTTAACTATTTTTTATTTATTTTTTTAGCTACGCGGCGGACGCCTGGCAGTGATGCTCAACAAGATTCGATGCCGGAGGTGGCAGACTATGAAACAGCCCTAGATATAGCTGGTAAGTTCTTGTAATGTTTTGTACATTATTTTATATTTTGACACTTTTTATGTAAAGGGAAATGTGCAAATTACTACTTATATTAGAAACTAACTCTTACCCGCGGCGTTGCTCCCGGCATTTGAGTACCTATACCTACCTACCCTACCTACCCTACCTACCCTACCAACCCTACCTACCCTACCAACCCTACCTACCCTACCTGCCCTACCTGCCCTACCTACCCTACCTACCCTACCTACCCTACCTACCCTACCTACCCTACCTACCCTACCTACCCTACCTACCCTGCCTACCCTACCTACCCTACCTACCCTACCTACCCTACCTACCCTACCTACCCTACCTACCCTACCTACCCTACCTACCCTACCTACCCTACCTACCCTACCTACCCTACCTACCCTACCTACCCTACCTACCCTACCTACCCTACCTACCCTGCCTACCCTGCCTACCCTGCCTACCCTACCTACCCTACCTACCCTACCTACCCTACCTACCCTACCTACCCTACCTACCCTACCTACCCTACCTACCCTACCTACCCTACCTACCCTACCTACCCTACCTACCCTACCTACCCTACCTACCCTACCTACCCTACCTACCCTACCTACCCTACCTACCCTACCTACCCTACCTACCCTACCTAAACTACCTAAACTACCTACCCTACCTACCCTACCTACCCTACCTACCCTACCTACCCTATTCTACCTAACCTACTCTACCTACCCTATCCTATCCTATCCTATGTCCTTCTCCTGGCTCTAAACTACATCCCTGCCAATTTTCAGCTAAATCGGTTCAGCCGTTCTTGAGTTTAAGTGGAGCAACTAACACGACTTTCTTTTATACCTATATAGGTATTTAGATATTATGTAAAAAACACAAACGAACTGCTAATGAGAATGACAAAATCAACAAATATTTTGGGTCAATTAAAATACATATTATTTTGTGGTTTTGCGTCATTTACGATACCTGCTTACTTATCATTCACCGTGCATTCATTCATGGTTGCTGATACCGATTTATTTTGGTTTTTTAATGACATTATAATATTATGCCAAATAGAGTTTTTGTTACAGTTATTTGTTGATTGCAATAGAATTGACATATTATTGGTTTATTTGTTTTTTTGTTTGATTAAAATATAGCAATCAAGTATACGGATTACCCGATGGCGTCACCTTACCCTACTCTCTATCTGCAAAAACCTTACCCCCAAAAGGCTAGCCAACACACTTGTTACTTTTCTGGTATTGCGGAGGTCATAGGTGGCACCGATTGCATACCATTAGGTCTTTTTGCTTTTCCACCCTATTAGACTACACCCTACATTATGTAATTTAGGTATCATCATCACCATCACAATCATCATCAGCCCATCAGTGCCTACTGCTGAGCTAAGCCCTCTTCTCACGCGGAGAAGGTTCGAGCATTAATCACCACTCTTGCTCAATGCGATTTGGCGATTTCAAACTTATAATTAGAAATTTTAAGTCCAGGTTTCATCACGATGTTTACCTTCACCGTATGTCAGTGGTGTCTAAATAGTCATAGAAAATACATATAACCTAGAAAAAGTCACATTGGTACTTGCCAGGATTCGAACTCCCTCATGCTTGAGAAGCAGACTCCTTAACCTCCTGACTACTTTTTATAGAGAACTAGCTTTTGCCCGCGACTTTGTTCACGTGGAAAAGTTACTTCCTGCAGATTTTTGGAATAAAAACTATCCTATGTCCTTTCTCGAGTTCCAAACTATGTCGGTACCAAATTTCACAGAAATCGGCTCAGTAGTTTAGGCGTGAAGAAAAGACAGACAGACAGACAGACAGACAGAAAGACAGACAGACAGAGTTACTTTCGCATTTATAATATTAGTTAGGATAAAACTCATACGTTATGTTACGCCTAACTTTACTTAGAAATGTACTTACATCAAACACAAAATATTTCTTTGCATTTGTCAATTGTTTTCTTAAAACTGCAAACGTACGTACGTCAAGAAATTCCTTTGACGAAATTACTGGGGAAGACATGTTTGCTGATTATCGGAATGCCATTAGTTTTCAGATGGGTCAATGAAGGGAAATGACTAATCATGGCAATCATCGTGTCTTGTATTGATGATTCTTCATCATGTGTGCAACGATGATGATGTAATTTTGATTATGGAATGAACTAGATAATCCTCGTATGGTCTACTTGTAATAAGTAATGGTCATCATAAGACTCATATCATAAGAGTTCTCTTCAGTCAAATGTTGATATTAGAGTATAATAAATTTTTTTTCTATGTCGGCAAACGAGCAGACGGATTACCTGATGGTAAGCAATCAGCGCCGCCCATGGACACCCGTAACGGAGGAGTTACGACTGCGTTGCCGACCTTTTAGGGATTAGGGATTTGGAGATTTAGGAACTGGGGAGGGATTAGGAAGGGGAAGGATTGGGCCTCCGGTAACCTCACTCACACGGCGAAACACAACACTGTGGTTGTTTCACGCCGGTTTTCTGTGAGGCCGTGGTATCACTTCGGTCGAGCCGACCATCATCACCTCCAAATCTTTAACCAGTCTGCAATAGTTAATAAATGTTTTTGTTATTGTTTGTCACCAAGGGTAATAGTATCAAAAAGATTATAAGCACTGCGTTTATTGTTACAATTACAAATGAATGATGTTAATGTTATATGCAAAGAATATGTAATCACTACGTTTATTATGTTTAGTACTTCTAATAAGTTTAATGATGTTATGTTACTTTACTCTTTGGTTACATCCTTGTACTCACAGATTATCTAATAAATACTTGTACTTATGGTCCACAGAGCCACAGATAATAAAAAGTTACAAGCGACCTCGCGCATAATGTCATACTCTGTCGACCATAGATAGATAAAAGTTTACCTACTATTTACTCTTTATTTTTTGTGCTTTTTGTTTATAATTTTATTTTTGTTAACAGTTACATTATTTTATCGTTTTGTTTATATAATTGGTATAGTTTTTCTTTTTCCTTTTTTTTTTTGGTATTTTTGATTTTTATGTGTGTGCGCTTGCGCAGAAATAAATGTTTCTTTCTTTCTTTCTTTCTTTCTTTCTTTCAATACGTTGTTATTGATGATCTGAGAAATCACATGAGTCATCAGTCTGTGTCCATTGCTGAGCAAAATAATTTCCTTAGAACATTAATCACTACGCTTTCTCAATAGTGTCTAAACGACGCTTCCTTCACTATGTGTCAGTAGTGTCTAAATAATCTTAGAAAGTACCTACAGGTGTCTCAGAAAAAGTCACATTTGTACTTGCCTCCTCCCCCGGACTACCACAACCCTAGAATTATCTAGAATAATCAAAGAATAATTTAACTTCAATAAGTGCCCACTGCTGAGTAAAGGCTTCTTCTCAAACAGTGAAGGTTTGAGCATTAATAATGACCACGCTTGCTCAATGCGGGTTGCGATTTTAAACTTGTAATTAGAAATTATAAACCCAGGCTTCCTCACGATATTTTCCTTCACCGTTTTCTAGCGGTTTCTAAAATCAATTGAGAAAAAGAACCATGTTACTCTGAAAAAGTCACATTGGTACTTGCCAAGTCTTGAGACCCGCACCCAGCTTGAGATATATGTAGGTGCTTTAATCTCCGGACCAGAATAATCAAGAAGTAATTTGACTTAAATACACGTGTTAAATTAACTTACGGTTCAAATACTTTCTCAGTTCAAGTTGACCAGTGTCCGCACGTGCGTGAACAATAACAATTACTTAGTTTTTAATTGCGAACGCGTCTTGTTCCGTCGCCACATGATCGATAATAATTGCTTTACGCTGTTTAAATAAATCCATATGTCCTGATTGTTTGGTTTATTGTATTATAAGTCTTATAATAGCTGTTATATACGTGGCATCGGTCGCGTGATCAAAGGAAAAAGTCACTTTCCATCAACTAACATTTGGCAAACCATTCTAGAAAAGTTAGCTCCCTTAGCTCCACTTGCAACCTGATGGATCCTAACTGCTAACCATTGCTTGTTTGCCCTCATACCTCATTGGCCCACGCAATAATTTTCTCCTGTGCCGTGATTGCGTTTACAAACATACAATTTCATATACACATGATAGACGGGGCTCTATAGGGTTTATGTTCAGCCGGGGTTGCGGGGTAAGCGCAATGAGGCACCGCGACCTCGGCCCAGAGCAGGAGAAGGAACAGGGGGGTTTTTAGTCAGTAAGAGTCTAACACTAATTGGCGGGAGAAGTCATTTGATGATTTTCTCCTCACAAAAAAAGCATACACATGATACCCAGACCACGATCTGTGAACCACAAAAAGAGTTGTTCCGTGCGGGAATCGAACCCGTGACACGTTGAACGGCAGCCATTTGCCAAGCCACCGCATCAACGCGCTGTAAAAAAAACCATATCCATAAAATAATTATTTTATCTTATCATTAAATAGTATTCACACAAATTGCATTGTCATCAGACCGAATGAAAAATTAATAGTTTCACGTCTAGATAAATGTGGCACGTGGCTAAGATACGAAAAAGACATAATTAAAAATACATAAAGTTTAAAAATGGCTGACCAGGCGCGGTGTACCGCGACATCATAGAAAACCGGCGCGGTACAACCTTTGCATTAATGTCGACGGGTGAGTGAGGTTACTGAGAGTCCAATCCCCGACATCCCCAAATCCATTTAAGTGTGGGAGAGCCATGCTTCGGCACGAATGGGTCGGCTCGACCGGAGTGATACCACGGCCTCACAGAAAACCGGCGTGAAACAACCACAGCGTTGTGTTTCGCCGTGTGAGTGAGGTTAACGGAGACCCTTCCCCAATCCCTAAATCTCCAACTCCCTTATCCCTAAAAGGTCGGCAACGCACTCGTAACTCCTCCGTTGCGGGAGTCCATGGGCGGCGCGATTGCTTACCATCAGTAATACGTCTGCTCGGTTGCGGACTTATTACATAAAAAAAA